CAAGCGCCAAATAATAAAACGCTGCGATTACACTGCTACATTACGGCGATTCATATGGCACCCATATATGTTTGTATGTGTGTACGTATGTATATATATAGTATAGCGGTACATGTCATTTGTTGCTGTTGTTCGCGTGTAGTACGTAATGAAAGCGTTTGCAACAGTCAGCCGGCTGTCCTAGCATTGAAGCATGGCTAGAAAATTTGGAAAGCGTCAGCGTCTTTGTTAAAGCTATTCGCGGCAAAGGAAATGTAAACAAACTCTTTGTTTCGGCTTTAGTGGCGAAATTGCACAATATATATATATGAGTATGTATATTGGCCAAAGAAAAGGTCTCAACTCTATTGTACAATTGTAATGAAACCAAAACTCTGTACAGCAATGCATGTGCTCCACTCTGTGCTCAGCCTTACTTTGCGCAGGCTAAAATACCTTTTGGAAATCAGTAATTCCTTATTTTAATCAGCTGAAATTATTAAAATCGGTTGAGTAGTTCGTGAGCAATTTTAGGCAATCTGACAACCGACTTTGAAAACACAGTTTCGAGAAAAACGCGTTTGAAGTTATAAGTGATTTTAAGTGACCATATAGCTGACCTCGAGCGTGCAACTTTTCAAAGCGGTATCTCCAAAACTATTAGTGGTATCAACTTAAGAATTTAGGACAATATTCTTGAGATATTATAGAATAAATAAATATAAACAATATTTTTATTTTTAAATGAATTTTTATTTCAAGCCGTAATTCCATGTAACCACTCAATGTTGTCGCCTTCAAAATAGTCCTCATTCGAAATTATGCACTTATGCTAGCACTTCTTCCAATCGTCGAAACACTTCTTCAACTTGATTTTTGAGATAGTGTTTATGCTGGAATTAGTGATTGTCGTGCCGCTCTTTCGTACTTACCGCCCTTATTAAACAAAATTTGTCAAAAGTTATGCCCATAGTGATAAAGTAGAAATAAGTTGTTCAATATATAGATGGTTTTGCACAAATCTAGCTTTCCAGTTATAATTTTTCATAGTGCAAAAGATCAAAACTAAAATCCAACTCTTAAAAATAGTCTACTAAATAATTGTATTCGACTGTTATTTTGAGTTAGTTTAAGCACATTTCAAATATATTTAAGTTTATTTTGTAATTACCACAAAATATCGAGACTGGCAACCCTATGTTGTGAGGGAGCAATCAGTTGACTCGTTTCTACGTCTATCTTCTTCTATCCTACCGTACGGTCTGTAGAAGCGGTGCTGAGTGTTCATTTACATTGCACTCTTATAAGATAGGTAGTATCAGCTGATACGGTCTACGGTTTTGTGTCGGTCACTAAGTGCAGCATTAGTTCTTTCAGCGCAGCGCTGCGCTGTTTATGTCAGCTGCTTATAAAATGACAGCCCTTTAATATTATCTTTATGTTTGGAAATAGCAATAAGTTACACGGAGCCACGTTCGGCGAATATGGGAGTAGGCAGTATTATTAAGAATTTTCCAAACTCGCAAAGTTTTCGTTTTAAAATTCCCGTTTCTTTTTGAACACACTTCGTACGAGTATTTCCAATGGACTCAACATGTTAGCTCAAACTATAAAAGTAAGAACCAGAAATCCACCCCTCTATAAATATACACTTTATACATTCATATATGAGCTATACGCGTAATCAAATAATTAAGTAATTGCACCCAAATCATTTGCGGCCCCATCTACCTGCCACAAGCCACAACCGCTTTCCGGTGGTGCTGTTATTCAATACGCGCAATAAAAGAATAGCAATGGAAACGCCCGCCGCAAGGGCGCTGAGCTATGCGGGGTACGTTAATAACACGCCGCCAACCAGAAATAGCAACAACAAAATGTAAAATATTTACTACACTCAAATATTATGATCGGTATTGAACGTTAGTAATACAACACAATTACAAAGCATGCACTTGACGCACGTTGCGCTCTGCACCCTGCACCCCAACCACCAAGCTCACCACTCGACATTTGGCAGGCGAGCGACTTTCTGGAGCGATGATTGTTTTATCGGGCAGCCTTCGAAGCGTAAGGCCAAAAATAGCTACCGCAACAGCGGAGAAGGCGGCAGCAAGTAATGCTGAATCGATCGGGCATTTGTTGCTTGGCTCGCTAACTGCGGGCTGCGCATTTTATTCGATGACTAAAAATAGACTAACCAAATCTTAAGGCAGCAGAAAGACGGAAATCGAAGGCAGCGCTGATGGAAATAAATATGGTGGAGGGGCGCGGGCGGTGAACACAAGTAATTTTATTTTATATAAACAATGCCGAAAAGAAAAAAAACACACAGCAACACAACAACAAAGCAGCAGAGCGAATATATGGTATTCAGTTGCTGAAATGGCTGGCGTAAATATGCCACACATACACACACACACACATACTCATAAATGCCCATACACACATACATGTACGAGTATGTGGAGAATTACAGCATTTGTTGTTGCCGACTGAAGTATCTCAAATGAATTTATGTATTTGCTGAAAATGGCGTGAAAAGGAAATCGATGATTTAATCAATTCGAACGCAAAAGTAAATAAACTAAAGCGCAAACTTCCAGAAATTTGCACGTACTATTTTAATACACAAAAACTACACTTCAATTGCAAACACTCATACATCATACATTAGTTTTTATAAAAATACTGTAACCGCTTCGCTATGCATTCAACCTTAGCGCTCTCAGTAACTGCATTTGTAAATACTGCACCATATCGGTATTCTAATGCTGGAAACGGTCACTGACGCAAAGCTGTGGACTCGGTTCAGCTGATAGGGCCTATCTTATGAGAGCGTAATGTAAATGAACAGTCAGTACCGCTGCTACCGTCCGCTTCAACAGACCGTACGGTAGGATATCCACGAAAATTGGATTTATGCCGTAGAAACGAGTGAGCTGAGAGTGAGAGAGCAATCTCTTGCAACGCATGGCTGCTAGTCTCTATATTTTGTCGTAATTAAAAAATAAACTTGAATATATTTGAAATATTCTTAAACTAACTCAAAATCACAGTCGAATATATTTATTTATAAATAGGTAAACTATTTTTAGTAGTTGGATTTCAGTTTTGAGCTTTTATATTATAAAAATTGTAACTGTAAAGCTAGATGTGTGCAAAATGTGTATACAAGTTGAGCAATGGTAACATTATTGAAATTAAAACAAAGACCAAACAACTGATTTCTACGGGCATAACGATGACGGGCATAAATTTTGACAGATTTCGTTTGATAAGGGCGGTAAGTACGGAAGGGCGGAATGTCGGTGACTGTTTCCAGCATAAGAGTTGTCAAGTCAAATTTTGTCAAGATTTTGTGTTGCATTGTCGGTCACAGTAATAGTTCTGGGCCAGTTTTCATTGAAACAATTTCGTGTCATAAGAGAAATGCATTGTTTCGCCGAAGATTTCTCTCAATACGGAAGAAAGGTTAAGGTGACCTGCTAGCTACACATTTAAGAGTAACTGTCGTTCCTAAATAAAAGCGGCAGCGGTAAATTACTGTCGAATATTCCTCATTGCCATATATTTTGTGTGGCGCAAACCTAAATAAACGCGGCGACAACGCTGAGCGTTGAAAAATGTGATTTTAACAGCGCGTTAAGAGTAAGAAGTGAGGTTGGCTAAAGAAAACGAAGAAATTGTTTCTTTATCTTTGCTGAAAAAATTACTTGGCGTGCGATGCATAATGCTTGTACAAACGTATGTAAGTGTTAATAAGAAATGAATTAAATTCATTTAACATTTTTTGTACTAAATTTCGAATTTAAGTGAGAGTTTGACGTAAAGTTGCCGCTTTATGTAGGGATGCCGCGTCGGCGTTAACGCTAAGCGCAAACAACGCGCCGCTCGACGCTTTTATTTAGGGACGGCACTAAGGCACTCAGCGGCAATTTCGCGGATTATTTATGTGCATTAAGAATCCATATTATTTTTAATTGCGTACTGCATTTGCATAAATAAAACAAAACCAAAAACCACATAAATTTAACAAAATCTTACCAAATTCCGTCTGCCAACACTTCACTTCCACTTACCTTCCTTAGTCACACCGTCGACAGTTCACCGACACTTCACTCCGCCAGCTGCGGTTAAACAGAAGAAATGGAGAAAATAATATTGCCATCAGTCAGCAATCCGTAACACACACACCCACATGAGCACACAAACATATGGTACTTGAACGCGGCGCCGTCCTGTTCTTGTGCTTCGTCTTCCTTTTTTTTCTCTGATATTGTTTTTGTTGCTACTTGTTCGGTTGCTGACGCTGATTGCATATGACTCTTCGGCAGTGTTGCGAGAAGACGTGAAGATGCGTCAATTATGGCACACTGAAGCGTCATTTCTCAAATTGTTTGCGATTTTTGAAGCTTTGTCAGTGGAAGCGATTGGTAACACGTGTAACGAACAGCACTTGCTAAGTTTTTGTCTTTTTTCAATGCAAATGAAATTTGCAATGATATATTACCTCAATTAGCTTGATGGAGCTATTTTTGTTACTCTACTCTAATAAGCAGAAACGGCTTCATCTACAGATAAAGTGAGGTCGGTTCTCATTTCTTTGTTGCTGTTGTTGTTTTAATAGCTATCTAAATCGCATTTACCATAAATGTAATTATTGTCAACGAAGTCAACTAACGATGCTTCCGTTCCAAAACGGTAAAGAGGATCATAGCTCGTGTAGAAATATCAGTGAATGATAAAAATAGAATTCTCGCCCTGCTTTCGACAATTCAATGATATTCAGTCTTCTGATATTTGAAAACAAAATGTTATATAATATAAGAAATTGTTGCACATTTCTCTCAGTGCATAATTTGGCCAAACAACACAATTCAATTTAAAGACTTGAACAAGAACTGAATTTAAGCGCAATTATAAGTCTTTAAAGTGCCAAAATGGTGGCTAAAAATAAAGTTTATTGCATATCATGTAGCAGAAATGTATGCGCGTACCCTTGTATTTTACTTCCACCGCAAATTGGGTATAAAAATTGTGTAAACTCAGTTTTGTAGCATATTTGTTAAGCCAGAGTCAAGCGAGCAACATCCAAGGCGAGAAATTCGAAAATGTTCCGATACGTCAGTAAAGTTTTCTTACAAAATATTTCAGAATTATTTTACAATAACTCGAAACATAAAATTTAAACGTTTTTCTACACAGTTCTGTTTTACAGCATTGCTGACGCTTGCATGCGCCGCACCCGTCGATGAGCAGGTAATGGTTACCGAGCCCATTATGGAGCTGCGGGCGCCACCGATGGACAATATGGGACCGGTTGTAGTGACAGAGATGGAACCTCGCGTACCCGTTATTGGCATTATGGACGCGGGACTGCAGCAATCCACAGATGGCGCCTATAACTTCCATTATCGCGGCGAGGACGGCTCCTTTCGGCAGGAGAGCGCAGTGGTCATCAATCCAGGCACTGAATATCAGTACCTGAAGATTAGTGGCAGCTACTCGTACTTCGACGCCAACGGCAAGGAGGTGGTGGTGCATTATAATGCCGACGATCGCGGCTTCGTGCCCGAGGGCAATAACATAATGCCGCAAATTTCGACAGCGGCGAAGATGAACAGCCAACTGCCGCGCGTGGTGGAGAAGCCAAGACCACAAGAATCGAATGTTCCGCATGTTTCGAATGTTCCGCATGTTTCGAATGATCCACAGGTTTCGACTGTTTCGAATGTTCCGCATGTTTCGCAAGTTCCCGTTATGGGCAACGTTTGGAATAGTCAAGTTATGCAGGTGTAGGCGCTAAGCCGATATTAACATATGTAAATGCGAATTCGGTTAAGAGATAAATTATGAAATGTACGCTTTAGATGCGGATCTTTTTGTTTCTGCTTTTATTTTATGTTTCTTTTTAAGTTGAATTTAGCATCTCCTTAATTTGCTGCAAATGAGAATAAAAAGACTTTTCACCACGATCGCATGTGTTGTACAATATCTGTTGCATACCTTTAGGCGCTGTTTTTGGTGAAAACTTAGTTACGCTTGGTTTAGAGCTGATTTGAAAGTTCGGCAAGCTAAATCGACTTAATGCTTTAAATACTCAAATAATAATTGGCATTTTTCTGGATTATTTTAATTTATTAATTCTAATAAAAATTTGGGGTAAACTAAATATACATACATACAATATTGTATCTAAATTTCGCTAGAAACTACAAGCGAGCCTACGTACAAGCAATCTAGGCAGCCTAGAGCAACTTCGAATACTTAAGGTTACTACGAAAGGCTATTAACTAAAGTGTATATGTCTCATAAACTATAAACAAGGTTATACATACATACATATATATTGCAAGAAAAAACAAAAACATTTAAATAAAAGTGCCGCTTAAGCGCCGACTTTCATTATTGTTTGAATTGTATTCGTGGAAGTAAAAATGTCGATAATTTGAAAGGGTGTTTATAGCTACGAACATATAAATATGTTTAGTTCATTAAATATATACCTTTTACTATATTTCTAAACCAATATTGTAATCGTTTTGTATTTTTTTAAACTCAAAATTCCATTTGTCAGTAGTCAAGGCTGGCAACGCTGAAGAAATTCATTGAAAATATCTGAAGTCCTTTAAATTAAAATATAATACAGTGCAAATGTGCACATCTATTTCTTGGCGGCACCCAGACTGCCACCGACGTTATTGCCCAGGCTTGTGCTCAATAGATGAGCGCCTGCGGTGCCTGGTGGCGGCGAGCTGAGCTGCTGGCGGAAATTGCCCACGCCCATGGGCTTGCGCTGTTTGATGCGTTGTTGCAGCGTGTGCAGTAGGCCGGAGAGCACATCGTGATTGGGTATCTTTTTGGCGAAGAGCAAGCGCTTGACGGAGTCGTCGTAGGTGAGAAGTGCGACCATGTTCTGCAGCAAGAAACCTTGGCAGTACTCGAGTAGCTTGTTGGCATTGTAGACCTGCAAAGACTCAATGCCATATTATTTATTCGTTAAGCGTCATTTGATGACCGTTAGACACTTACCTTCGCGTGTATGTACATGGCCACCACATTGTCGATGTCGATCATCTCAGAGCAGCGTGATTCAGTGTAGCGCAATAAACCTTCCAGCTGGAAGAAGCTCGCCGCCGCCATCAGCTCCAAAACATCAGCGTTACTAACCTCCAATGTGGCGCAACCACCGCTGTACAGATAGTGCATGACCAATTGGAAGATGTGGTAGCGAATGTCGTTGATCTGCACTGTGGGCGTGTTTCCATCGCTCAGCTTGGAGCTGAGCATGCTCTGGAAACGCGGCGAGGCGGTGACAAGCACTATTTTGTGTCCATAGAATATCTTGCCCTCCACTCTGAAAGTATAAAGCAGACACCGTTACGTAAGCAAACCAGCGGAATATCTGTTTGACTTTTACCTAAATGTGACATCGCTCAATTCTGGATTATTGACAAATTTGGGGTCTATGCGCGAGCTGTTCACCGATTGCATTGGCGCCTCCTTTATTGGCTTGATGGTCTCCCAGCCAAAGCAAGTGGCGAAAATGTCGGCTAGCAGCAGTGTTGTGCCCTCATTTTTACTATAGCGAAATATGTTGAAGAGCAACGGTAGACACTCGCTCACGAACTGCGCGCTGTAGTCATCCGGACAGACTTGCAAGAAATCCTGCAGCAGTTGGTCGATAACAGCATCCAAGCGCAACTCGTGCGCCGCCGCCAGTGCGTGCATCCAGCAGTGTAGTGTCCAGGGTACGCCCAAAGTGCGCAGCTCTATTGTAATATCTGTGAGAGAAGTGTTATTGATAGCGGTTTTGATAAAACCAATTAAGAATTACTCACCCAAATGATTATTTTCGGCGCTGTGATACATTGCCTCCTGCAAACTTTTGATTTGTGTCTTATTTAATGTGAGTGGTAGCTCGGCGCTTATGCGGTCACCGCCCGCATTGCTCGTGCATGCTGCACCCCGCGTCGCATTACCTACCGGTTCACCTTCAGCTAGCATTTCCTCGAGCGAAAGCACGTCTTTGCTTCCCGGTGACATTGGATGGGAGAGTAGTTTGCGGAGACAAGCGCGCTGGCCATGCGCTGCGGTCACAGAGATGGCGCAATAAGAGCCCCGCTGAGCTGAGCCACCCGCAAAGCACATTGTGTCTTTCTGTTGCGTGGAGAGAAATGCGTTGGCGCCATGTGCTAGCAGCAGCGAAATGACCTCGACATTGCCAGATCCGCATGCCACTTGCAGTGGCGTCAGCGTTGGTTTTTCTTCACTTAGTCGTGCACCACCTTCAACCTTGCCACCCCTTTCCAGTAGCAGACGCAAAGCCAAGTAATTGGCACGACTTGCGGCGAATGTTACTGCCGTCCAATGTTGCGTATCTGGATGTACACCAGGAAAGTTCGGTTGACCGACTGGTGGCACTTCCACATTTGGATCACAACCGGCATCGAGTAGCGCCTGTATGGCCACCTCGTCATTGCGTATTGCGGCGATCATAAGCGCTGTCAATCCCGCGTGATTCAGTGTGTCATAACGCGTGGTGGGTGGCAATAAATTTGCCGCCTGTGCCATTAACTCAGCGCGTGCAGTAAGCATGAGTTTAAAGGCAAGCGTGATGGTGGCGCGTTTGCCCAACTCTGTGGTATCTTCACTAATGCTCAATGCTATGGGGGTAGTTGAACCAGGGTGTGAGAAATGTGTCTTTTTTGTAGGAAGCTCCTCTTCGTGGCCAATCGGTCGCATTGGACAGTCAACACCTGGTAAAAGTAGGCGCGCTGCTTGCATGATATCGTCTTTATCTATCATGACAGCGTGTCGATATTCCGCGTGAGCCGAGGCAACTCGCAACCATTCCACTAATGGTGGCAAAACCACGTATGCACGTTCATAGCATAGCTCTTGCACATTTTGATTGCTGCCGCCCGCGCTACCGCTGGAGCTAGAAGGCGCGCCACTAAAATCACTGTGTTCTAATTGCGAGCAGCGCATGAAGTAAAACAGTGTGGAGAGCGCAGCATTAGACAGAGCTGTGTGTTGAAACTTTTGTTGAGCGCGCAAAGTCAAGTCTTTTAGTTCAGTTATGCTCCCGACGCATGTCGTTAGCAGACAAGGCTCCAGCGAGACATTGCTATTGGCGCCCGAACTGCCGCTCTTTTGAGTGCCCGAGCCAAGTGATGACAGACTTGCCCACCTTGGCATAGTGAGTGCACCTGATGCTATGCGTCCTGCATTCAAGTGTGCGAAGGGCTGTAGAAGACCCCACAGGTCACCGGAATGAGCAATAGACTGATCCAGTGTTGCTGTGGTAAATTGGCTAGATGAATCTGCAGGAAAGCTTTGCAACAATAACTCCTCGAGAAGATTTTCCATACCAGCACATAGGTATACTGCCGCGTACTCGTGTATAAATTTCCCCAAACGCGCGTCGGCCATCCAACGATGAAAGCGTCCTACGGGTAGCTGAAGCCCAGCGCGTGCTGACTTGCTTTGTTTTAAGGTGCTGTCACCTGTTACAGCGAACATTGCTGCGGCGCGTAGACAAGCCTTAATGCAAGAGTCCGCCAGTGCCGGACAAAGCACTATCTTGTATGCGGTTGCGACTTCTTGTTTTGAACACAGACCTAAGCAGGCGGATAGTCGCTGCACCTCACGTGCAATACGCACCAATGCACGTTGCAGCAGGTATCCTAAGCGTGGAATGGTGTCCACTGAAACTCGTTCTGCTTGCTCCTTGCAACGTCCATTTCGTATTACGCGCATTATACAGTGTTGGCTCCATGGTGGATGTTGTAACTCTACTAGTCGATTATGTGAGTCCACCCAGACAAACTCGTCAGCGTTTGTCACATTCGTATTTACTGTTTCCAGCGACGAGTAGCGACCTAAGCGGCGCGCGGGTTCTGAGCTCTCCGAACCGGCGCTGAGACTGCTGTAAGTGCTCGTGCTCGTTTGCGAACGCATTGTCAGCTGTTGTATGGCCAATTTTATATCTTCCAAACCACTACCGCTCCATGGTGCCTTAGTCGCTGGGGTGGCACGATGGCGTGCACGCGAATGATTTGTGCTTGTGCGAGAACGCGTACTACGGTTAGTGACAGCGGCGGCAAGTCGATCTTCCGGTAACGGTCCTAATGCTACTCCACCACCAGGTGAGGAACTGCCATGACCTCCAGTATCCGACATACTCGCATGACCCGATGAGCGATTCTCATCCGACGAGCTATGACACTCCTGTACGCGTTGCAGCGCACGAAATTCATGATGATGTGTGCGCGTGCTAGTCGCGCTTGCCTTTGCGTGCGTATTGCGCTGATAGCCTCCACCACTGGGAGTCACGTTCGCACAGGTCGAATCAGATGTTGGTATGCCGATGCTGCAATTGCTCAAATCCAATGATAATGGCAGCGGACGCTTGTCGTTGCTGCTGAACTTTTGTTGTGTTGTGACCGGCTGTTGAGGTTGTGATTGCTGTGGTGACAGATTGCCACTCAACATGGGCGGCTGCGATTTGACAGGCGTACTTTGCACCGTAAGCCGTGCTGGTGCCGCCAAGGTGCGATGCGGCGCCGGTTTACTAGGCGCTTGAGGTGGACTGCTTACGTTTCTTATATTGATTGTAGTATTGGGCACAATACTGTGCGCGGTCTGTGAGCTGACCACCATATTGGGCGCGCCACAAACGGCACTATTAAAACGTTGCGCCACCTCCTTGGAGATGCGTGGCGCTGGTGTTGCCACAGCGGGACTTTGTATGCGGCCAGTGGAGGAACTCAAACCATTTGGTGTATTGAGCGGCGCGGAGGTGGCAGTCATTGTGGTACCGGTGGATGGCGATGAGGGCACGACGCTAATTTGGTTTTGATGTGGCAAGCCCGTTGTTGTTGGCGAGCTGACGGGGCAGTGTAGTTGCGAATTTGTTGGTTGCGGGCTGAATACCACGGGCATGTCGCCGCGCATGTTGCCAGTCGGTCTGTAAATGAGAAAGAGTGTAAACTAATTAGACAGTGGAACATATGATTTTGTGTGCGCACTTAAGCAAAATGTGTGAAATCAGTCTCAAGTGAGAAGTGACAACTGATAGCTGCAGCGTTGCATTACTATGCTTTGCAAACTGCCTGCTTGCCAGTGTGCCTCAACGCGTCAAAACAGTTACACATAATTAAGCTGCTTAGCTGCTTATGGTTTACAACAACTGCCCAGTGACTAAGTCAAATGTCAAGAAGCGCAACAACAATAAATTAATCCATTAAAACAACACTCAAAGTAAAGTTTACGTTCTTCAACAACAAATTGGAAACTTTAAGCGCTTTCTTTTCTCTCTTCATATTTAATATTCGCCTTTCAGCTTTGAGCTCTGCACGGCTGTCAGTTCTATAAGCTGTCTTAGACGTCAGCGTTCTCCCCACTGGGCACCGGGTTAATGCTGTCACTCAATTACCGCTAATCCGCAGCGCAAATTCTTGGCCACTCAGAATTGGAACGAGCATTCAGCTTTTAATTATAAATGTGCTGAATCCAATCTTTCCCTTTATTTTTCATTCTTCAACAAATCGCCTTACTGAACATTATGCGCTCAAGCGCGCAGAAGAACCAAAAGATTATAGAAATTTGCATAAGAATATAAATAGCGGCAAAATTATTGTAAGAATCGTTGAAAACCACGAAGTTCACCAACAAAATTGAATAAAAAGCTGTGTGTGTGTGTGTGCGTTTGCCTGGATAAATGTCATAACTGTTCACCAACGCGGCCGGACGCGCTCAATGTTGCTGACAATGAAAACAAAATTATGTCATTTATTGTTCTTGTTATTGTTGTAGGCATCAGCGCCTTATTTGCATTTGAAAAGCTGTAGTAGCCACGCCAACAAAGCGCCAAACGGAAACTAACAATAGCAGAAAGATTTGAATACAAAGCTCAGTAGCGCATGCGCGCAAACAAATAAACATAAAGCGGCAATAAATTGTTGTAATTGTTGTGTTTGTTGGCCTTTGCCTTGCATTGTTGTAAATCGCACACATTTTGCCGTCCAAATAATGTGGAAGAAGAAGATAATAAAACAATTAAACTAAATTCTTTTTGTTTTAGGTGTTGCTGCCTAAGAATCTCTTTGCATGAGAAGCTGCTGGCACACTTTTATTGTTTAGCACTAAATAACTTGAAGAATAAGCCTTTGTTTGGTAGAAAATGGGTCAGAATTGCTAACCACCTTTAGGGGAAAACCCATATCTCGGCATCTACTTGATCGATTGATTACAACTAAATTTGATAAATAACATTATCTTGAGATGCCTATGTTACAGTACGAAAATGGTATTACAACCACGCCTACTCCCCATCTAACATAATTACATAATTTTAAATTCTATCTGTTATGTTCTATCACTTCCCAATAGACAAATCAAGCACCAATGAATATATCGGCATAAAACTTTGCCCGAATAGTGCGTTTAAAGTGGGCCACCTTGCGACCTTGTGAAAATTTTCAAAATCAGACTACAGCTGTGTAAGACCCCAGTTACGGATATGTGAACCCCTGTATCTACAGCAAACATTTTATCTAAAATATTGGTCAATCTGTGAGATATGTTATTGAAAATCGGAGAAACACTCCTTTTCTGATAATAGTTTGCCCGTATGTCAAAAATAAGTTGAATGGCGACAATATTTCCCTTAGCGCCAATATACCTAATAGAAAGATTTACGCACTTTCGGTTGACTTTATACCGCAAATATCGACCAATAAGTGTTGTTGTTGTTGTAACAACAGCCAATATGTAAATTATTTTAGTAAAAATTAATGAGCGTGTTTTTCTGATAACGGTACATGCTTAAATTACATAAAATCGGATGAAAACTTGACCTAGTCCCCATATAACTAATATCAGGATTTTATTTGACTTTACTTTTTATATATTGGTGATGGTATGTGGGGTACCTTAATGAAACTCAGCGATCATCCTTTTCTGTTAATAATGTGTGGTAATATGGCAAAAATTGATAAAAGTGGTTCAATACTACCTCTATCTCTCATATACCTAAAAGAAGATTTTCAAACTTCCGTTTGGGTTTATTCCGCATATATCGGTCTGTATGTACAATAACGTTAAAAAACATAACTGAACGTATAATATTATACTATATATATGTATATAAGGGTGGAGCGAAAACAAAAATGTTTTTTTTTTTGCTTAGCCTGAGGGTAAACTTTATAGATTATAAAAAAACCAAATTTTTGGAAAAAAAAAATTTTTTTTTATCTTTTAGAGGCGGCTACTTTTACTTTTAAAGTAAATTTCGAGTTCAAATTTTTATTTTGTAATTTTTATTTTCGTTTACCTTACAAGTGAGTGGGCCTCTAGATAATTTTTTTTTCTTTTTTTATATTTTTATACTCTCGCAACCTGTTGCTACAGAGTATAATAGTTTTGTTCACCTAACGGTTGTTTGTATCACCTAAAACTAATCGAGTTAAATATAGGGTTATGTATATATAAATGATCAGGATGAAGAGACGAGTTGAAATCCGGGTGACTGTCTGTCCGTCCGTCCGTCCGTCCGTCCGTCCGTGCAAGCTCTAACTTGAGTAAAAATTGAGATATCTTTATGAAACTTGGTAGACATGTTTCTTGGTACCGTGAAACGGTTGGTATTGCAGATGGGCGTAATCGGACCACTGCCACGCCCACGAAACGCCATTAATCAAAAACAAATAAATTGCCATAACTAAGCTCCGCAATAAGATACAAGACTGTTATTTGGTACACAGGATCACATTAGAGAGGGGCATCTGCAGTTAAATTTTTTTTTAAGTGGGCGTGGTCCCGCCTCTAATAGGTTTAATGTGCATATCTCCCAAACCGCTAATGCTATAATAACAAAATTCACTGAAAGCAAATGTTTTTAGCACTTCTATTGACGGTGTGAAAGTAGTTGAAATCGGGTGGCAACTCCGCCCACTCCCCATATAACGGTACTGTTAAAAACTACTAAAAGCGCGATAAATCAAGCACTAAACACGCCAGAGACATTAAATTTTATTATAAACATTATTTTTATAGGAATCACGTTCAAAATTAGACAGTGGGCGTGGCATAGCCCACTTTTAGGTGAAAACCCATATCTTGAGATCTGCTTAACCGATTTCAACCAAATTCTTGATTCGTTCTTTTCGTGTTTCTATGTCATAGTGCGAAAATGGGCGAAATCGGACTACAACTACGCCTACTTCCCATATAACACCATTTTAAATTCCATCTGATTCTTTCACTTTCCACTATGCAAATCAGGCAACAATGACTGTATCGGGATAAAACTTTACGTGAATAATGCGATTAAAGTATGCCACCTTTTGGCCAAAAATTGTCTAAATCGAACCAAAACTGTTTAAGCCCCTAAGTACTAAATATGTGGACCCCAGTGCCTATAGTTGATCTTCTACCGAAAATATCAGTCAATCCACAAAGAAATCTCTAACGAGTATACTATTTGACTTTGCGAGAGTATCAATTGTTCGGTTACATCCGAACTTAGCCCTTCCTTACTTGTACTAAGTACATAATTATACATAATTATATATCATTTAGACGACATTGGAAGTCGCAATGAAGACAGAAACGAATGGAAATCACATCGATGAATAATTTGGCTTTGAATTCGCAGCAGACCCAGCCAAAGCAATGTGAAATGCATTTATGCCGATTTTAACCTAAAAATTCTGCGTGGCCCATATTTAGCACATGTTTACCGATTTCGGGATTTTTTTCTTATCAATGTTCGGCCTTGTGTTTTTGAGTATTCGAAAACAAGGATTGAAATAAATTAAAATGTTTGAGTAATCTAACGCTAATTTGGACCACTTATTTTCCCGTACAAAGTCAAAGTGTGATTACAGATGTAAGCGACAGGGCCTTTTTCCAATTAGTGTACTAACGACTCCGATAAAAACAAGCACACGCCATTTAAAAAATTATTGTGGATATTATAGATAAGCGAGTGTTTATGTGCGTCGAATCTGTAAGATCCATAAATAAATCATAATTGAGTTCACCTTGAAGGCGTACGTACATTGAGCAAAATTTTGCAACAGCCATTGAGTTTTTCCATTAAACGGAAGCTGGCTGTCAAATGAAGTAGTAAAAGTGTATGCTAATCAGCGATCACATGCACGAAGGCCTTTGCCGGCCGATCGCGTGAATATCTTCATCAGTCTGATTATTATGTGTAACAAAGGGAGGGAGTTTGTGTGCAGTTGAAAAAGCGCAAATTGGCTGAGAGCGGTTTGCAACAGCGGACGTCACGAACGCGATCAACGAACACAAACACACATACACACAAACATTTGAGTTGGCGCAGTGAGCGCTGGCTGGCTGAATGTTATGTGTTCATTGCCAATTTTATTTTTATTTATTATATTTTGTTATATTTATTTTCGATTTTTCCATTGTTGATGGTAGCAGTAAAAACTTTTAGTTAGCTGCCGAAAGTGTTGAAATCATAATTAATTATAATTATAGCTCCACTAATTGCTTTCATTTTCACAAGCTTTTTTCTCTAAAAGCCAGTCTGACAATAAACAAATTATTAAAACCAAAACTAAATATTTAAGAGAGAATAGTTATTAGTTCTAATTTTAAGAAGGCGCTGTGAGAAAAATTTAGTAAAGAGACTCACGCGAAGTCTTGTACTTGTATATCTATGACGAAATCTTGAAATGGCTTAAGTAGACTTTAGCTAGAGTTTTATTTATTATACCCTGAACAGGGTATATTAAGTTTGCCACAATGATTGTCACATACAAAAGCAAACCTCAGAGATCCTATAAAAAAAAAAATATATATATATATATAAATGATCACCATGACGAGCTGAGTGGATTTAGCCATGCGCTTCTGTCCATCCGTCTATCTGTATATATGCGAACTAGTCTCTCAGTTCTTGAGGTATCGATGTGAAATTTTGCACCAACCTTTTTCTCGTCTACATCTGACTACTCATCTTGAACAAGTTATTGAGTAAGAATCAATCCGTTTACTACACTATATCGCTCTATCTACTTTATTATTTTCGAATATACCGAAAAGAAAGTGCTTCTATTGCACACTTCATTACTACAAATTTGGATAGCTCGAGTTTAAAGTAAATATATCATTAAAACTTTGAAATAAGCTTTTGCTTATACTATATTTGAAGAATTCACTTTTCCACAACAGATAAATACTAACAAAAAGCATTCTTGCGATACACCGATCTTCCTCTTAGAACACTGCACCTTTTTAGTATGTATATGAATATCTTTTAGCGACTACAATAGACTGTGTCTCCTGTTAGCAACATATATGAGATATGATAATCGACAAGTTATGTAGAATATACTTTATCCAACAGATGGCGCTGTAGTTGAGTTTTTTTAAAAAAGCTGCTTTAATATGCGATTTGAATGATATTTGTAACATGTATTCGTTTAGAGCAAACAAAATAGTTTACTGCACATTTTATTGATAATGCTTGAAACATCTCTCAAAATACTGGAAGTAAGAAAATTTTTTTTGAAAGTAACAAATGGACATATAAGTTGCACATTTCATATAAAAACCAAATAAAATTTAAAAAGTCATAATAGCATTAGTAAAAGTATTGGTGTTTGCAATTGACTGCCCATTTTTTATAATATTGAAAATGTCTTAATCCGTTAAAGGAAATTTATTTGCCAAAAAGAAAAAAAAAACAAATAGTATAGGAGTGGAGTGTTCGTTTCATAAATTCGCTACGCCACGGTTATTTGTTATGGCCAATCTAAAAATGGCAAACAATAAAATGAGCGACAAAAAATTGTAATTAATACGCCGTTATACCGTTGCAATTGAACAAATGTGGTAAATTTTTTAGCGGCTGACAGGACGCCAACACAGTGGAAATGGCTATCGTTAGTATATCAACCAAAAGTCGTAGGAAAAAAAATATTTAAAAAAATGCTTATAAACAAAAAGGGACCTCAAAGTTGAGACAATAAGTTAGAGAGTAAGAATAAATAAAAAAATAATCAAGCCGATAAAGGCAATGCAAGCGCAAGCTGCCACAAGGTTAAATGAATGCAAACTCAAAATACAAATAAAACAATAACACAAGATAAAATATAAATTTGGAAAGCGTTGGGCAGCACCGCCAACCATTTGAATTTGCTGTGCGCAACTGTAAAATTTTATATGGGAAACAAACGCGGCTTTTTGCTCGAGCCATACTTTGAACAGCTTAATTAACTGGCTGCAGCTGAGCTGCCTTATAATCGCAATAACGCAAAAACACCACCAACAATTACCGCAAAATTTGATAAATTGAGACATTCAAATGCATAAATTTGCAAAGCGAATGCACAACAACAAAACCAACACGCTGCAATAAAGCGCACAATTGTGGGGTGCAGAGCAAATAAATTTGGGCCAACGAATTGCTCATAAATAATAGCCACAAGTAAACGCGGCGTATACGTAACCACAAATGAGCCCATTTGCCACCGCATTTGTTGCATGCAATAAACACACACGCGCCGGCAATAGGCGCACTCAAATTTATTGGGCGCAAAGCACTGAAATCAACAATTTCTTGAGTAATTTGTTGCTAAGAGGTGCGAAGTCAAAGCGTAAAATTATTTAAATTGTTTGGAAAATATTACATTGAAAATTTTAAAAAATTTTTAAATATACTTTTGAACAGCATACCGTGCGCGCCACTCCTGTACAAAGCTCCAATCGCACGAGTCACATGACTGCTGGCTCGCATTGTCCTCGACGCCGCCAGCCAACTGCTCCGCCTCAGCCAACACATGCACCGTGGCGAGCGTTGGTTTTGCTACCGTCTGCACTAAAGCGCTGGCGCGCTGATAGTTGCCTTCAATCTTGATGTTAATCACACCATTCTGCACGCTCTCGATGTAGGAGGGCAAATCATCATCATTCACACACTTCGAGCCTAAGCACTCCGCGCTGTCTTGCTTTGGCGCCACTACATTAGGCGCAGTATCATCCAAGAGCTGCGCGGCTTGCACCACGTCCTTGGCCGTCTCGCCCACATTGTGTTTGCCGCGATTGCCAATCGAGTCGCCGAAGTAGATGACAACCTTGTGATTGGGTTTGGGTGGCGCCGCCGGTTTGTTGGCGCGTGTCGCATCTGTTGCCACAGCAGTATTTGCTTGCTGTTGCTGTGGCGCGGCATGCGGTGATGGCTGTTCAGAGTAGACGTTCGGCGTAGTCGTGGCGACGCGCTGCTGAAACATTTCGCTGCATTTCAATGACTGTGGCTGGAATGTCTTGAAGGAATTGTTTGTGCTGCGGCGACGCAGTATGAAATTTTCGTTAAAGCGTCCGAATAGTGAAGTGGGTGGGCGTGGCGCAGGCCGTTTTGTTGGCTTGGCGGGCTTGTAATTGCGCAGCTCGCGACACAAGCTGCAGCTGCAGTCCTTACCGCAATACATTTTCGTAATAATTACTGTGAAATTGTTTGTTGTTTCAAGGCAACGTTATTTATTAGCGCGATAGCGTCACTCCAATATTCAACAATTCACTTCAACAGCGACTACTGTTACGATTTTCACTTCACATGTTAACACTATTTTCACACATATTTATTGAACATTTGTTTGTTGTTAATTTTGTTAGCTGTTGTTTTGTCGTTGTTATTGTATTTGCATTTGTTTGTTTGCTTGCGATTTGCGGCCGCGCATTTTTCATATTGTTCCGCAATTATTTCACGATTTCTCTTTCATCAATTGGCATAATTGTCTTTTCGGCAATTCGCCTTTTTGGCTACTTGACTGCGCGGCTACTTAGCCATTTGGCCAGCATAGCATTTGTTGAAGTTCAATGCGTTTTCTTTACAACGAATATCAAAAAAATCGAAATTAACTCATTCACTGTTTGGGCCAATGTTGGCCTAGTTGGCCTGCAATTAAATACCCAAAATTGTAATTATAAAATTAAACGAAACCACCAACAACAGCAACAGTTGCACGTAAAGTGATGTGTAAGTCAGCGAATGCATTGTGCAAAGCGTGCGTAAACACCTTTTGAGTTCGTGCCAAATTTTAACAGGCGTAATCGTCTTGTAATCAATCAGCGCGCTCTTTCATAGCCGCGCCACTTCATTAGCTTATGACTGTTATTCGCGTTTTAACACTTTTTCTAAACAAAATTTTGAGTTTTTGTATTAATTTTGGCTACAGTTATCATGCAAACGCAACGTTGCAACTTTTGTGGGCGTTTTTTGAGTTCATCATCCGCTTTGAAGATGTGCTGCAGACGATTGTATCTTTTTTTTCATGTGTGCAAGCTTGCATGTGTGCGTGTGCGCAATTCATACAAAATCACGAAAAATTAATTCATTTACAATTAAAGTTAATTTACAAATAAGTATTCAATTGAATTGTTTGCCATTATACTCAAATATTGCAGACTATTAGTAGTTATTTAAGGGTGTAACTGTCGTTGTGCAGCAATTAGCGCATCAACTAGAGCACGCTTACGCAAGGCGCATTACTTTGTGTAGTTTTTGTTACTGTTAAGTGACTTATGGTCAATTAGGTATACTATTTAGTGCAACAGAGTTGAAATTGCTTATACATTGGCTTACATATAATAAAGTATATCCACATTTAAGTCGTTGTCTTTACTTGAACAACGACCTAAATGTGATTGCTATAAAATAAGTCAGTTAACGCCAGTTGCTAAGTGATACAATATCAAGACACTAAAATTATATAGAACAGCGAGATTTGGATTCGCTTCTAGTTTAAGCCAACATTGAAAATATTTTTGCTTTTAATGACAGTTGTCATTCACCAATAACTGGTAGCTTCAGGGGTTAACCCTTATGTTAGTAACCGGGTACCCGGGTACCCACCGCGGTGTATTTGTGTGAATAGCTTAAAAAAAATTCAATATTTCATTTTAAGCTCTCAAATCGTCGTTTTTTAACTTAAAAAAAGCTATTTGTGAGTTAATTTTTTTTATTTTTTTTTATTCTACGTTTTTTTTTTTTGTATTTTTAAATTGACACTGACTATTAATATTTGAAGAAAAAATTTTTTAGAATTTTTTAGAATTGTTTTTTTAATAAAATAAACAAAATAATAATAATACTCAGATCGTGGGCTGAAAGGCGTCGGTAAAGTTGGTTACTAAAATAAGGGTTAAATGGGTTTCACGGCTTACAAAAAAAAATATATATTTTTACTGTCTTACTTAATTCTATAACATCTCTAGAATATTGTCCTAAATTCTCAAGTTGATACCAGTAATCGTTTTGGAGATACAGCTTTGAAAAGTTGCGCGCTTGAGGTCAAGAATATAGTCGCTTAAAGTCACTTAAAACCTTAAACGCGTTTTTTTCGAAACTGTGTTTTCAAAGAGGGTTGTCAAAATTTTTCACAAACTACTCAACCGCTCTTAATGAAATTTTACACAGGCCTTTGAGATATAATTTACAAGTTCTTGCCGTGGAGAATTTTTTTTTGTTCAATTACAACTATTTAAAAAAAAAAACTCGAGAAATGTTCACCAAAATTTGCATGCTTTTGAAAAACGTCTGTCAAAAATAGAATTTGACTTTATTTGTTTTTTCTCCATCCAATATCAAGTTAATGGTCTTAGTGCAATCACGTTTTTTTTTCTTTTTCTTTTGATGATCCTGTCAGCAGTTCTGCTGTCAACACGGAAGCACCGTTTTTCCGAGCGACTGCCGGAAATGACGTTGTAATGACCGAGTTTTTAATATTTTCTTTTAAAATTTTAACAAAATCTTTATCAAATATGTATCTTCGAAATAATATAAATTTTAATAAAATATTTAATTTTTTTATGAACGAAAAATTATTGAAAAGTGGACGTGTTTTGCTCGACGAAACCCATGTAACCCCTTAAAACTTGTTTGATGTTATCAGCAGAAGAAAAGCTTAGCTTAGCAACTAACAAAAAGTTAGGCGCATCTCTTCACACACGTGACTGATTTTAGTAGTAATTTTGAAGTTGTCGATAACTTCGTGTAGCTTGAAATTAGTTTTAACACCCAAAAATAATGTCAACCTTGAATTGAGTAGGCGAATAAGCAGCAAACTTCGCTGTCCACAAACAAAAATAACAAATTGCAAAAGCGTATACAATGAAATATTCTATAAGAAAGTGCGAGATAATGACTTTTTGATATGGCATAAGAGAGTACCATGATATGTGTGGTGACAGCTAGACAAGTCTTCAATTTCAATTTATTGCTACTCGTTGCTTTCAAAATGGCTGTGAAGCAATTGGCACACACCTGTTTATGCTTTTATCGTACTTTTCTGGCGCGCAGTGATCACTCATTGATTCTCTAATATTATATAACTTAAACCATAAATATTATTCAACAATGGCACAATTGGTTCTATAGTTTGTTACCGATTGGCTTACCCACTTTTCTAGAATAATTATGCAGTCGACCATTTCAACAGCTTGAAATGTTCACAGCATCGTTCTAGTATAGTACCTAAGCCCTTCAGAAGGTTTTCAAGCGACTTATTTTAACTTTTTTGCTTCGGGTTACTACATAAAGTGAATATTGTTTGAAAGACTTGTTACATCTATCCCTAACTATGGTAAAAATAAGGCTGAAACTTTATGTGGTGCAGTTTATTGACTTTTCACAACGCTTGTATAAAACTCACAGGTGTCTTAGCTCCGTCTAATATAATATATAGTATTATACATAATATAATATTTGTCATAATAAACTGTTTGCGACTTTTTAGATTTCTTGCTTTATATTTTTGCCAAACTTCTCCCCATGCAACTCTACGTTAGGACAGAGAAGTCTTAAGTACGAGCACTTTTAATTCAACTACTGCTGCCAAGTCGCCGTTGTTTCCCTCGCTTTAATGTGTATTTATTTAATTAAATTTTTTTTTATATTTTAATTTTTATTTGTTCTTTGTTTGCATCACACACACTCACACCTGTTTAGGTTGGCTGTGCTACATCACTTAGCGAGTGTTTTTTCCGCAATTATAAATCATTTCGGCGTTTCTAAAAATTTCATTAAAAAAAATGCGCACACACACACATACACGCATATCACACACATATGTATATGTGAGTTTGCTAAGCGCGAGCACATGCGTAAGTATGTCATTATTTTGCCGTTTCCGGTTGGTTGGTCAAAGCTGCGGTTCGTTAGCAGCAAAAGTAAAACTAAACCAACTCGAGCCTCAAGCCCTCGTGAGGCTGAAACTGCCACCACCGAGCGTTTAGTTGGAGTCTAGTGTTTGCTAAGGAGCGCGCTGGCAGTGAGTAGTGTTTTTAGTTACGCGCGGAGGCAGAGGTGCATCAGCTGTTTGTTGTTGTGGGTGTAATGACGCTTAAGACTTTTGATTTCGTTTGCATATGCTAAGAAGTGCCGTCATGCTGCGAACGCTTTGAGATTTTCTTCGATTTATTTTTAATGAAATGCAAATAAGTTCAGATTTGCAAGTCGCAAGTCATTCAAGCGTTGCCTTTGGACTGCAATAGGCATACATTTGCTGTCAGTTGACGTGATTGATGGTTTCGGCTGATTTGTTAGCTTCGAAATACTATGCAAACATTTATTATTTTTGAAAACCTTTAATACGGTAGATTTAAGATTATTTTTTTATTTTTTATATTCACATTAATATTTACAACAAAGCGGTTTAGTTGAAAACATCCGTTGTATTAAAAACACTACAGCACACAGCATTTTCGAATAACTTTTTTTTCAGAATTTTATTTAAAACCAACACCACACAGTTTGAGAACACACAATTTCCCAGCCAACGGCGCAAGCTCAAAAAATGCTTTACGTCCGAACGCGTCGCTTGACGAAACGAAACTGAAACTTTGCCGCCGCGACGGTTCGCTTGGTTACGTTTGCCAAGCGCGACTCCAGCGTCACAGCGTCGGCGATTGCGTGCCACATGCTGGCTGCGCGCTTGTATAATGTGAGCGAGTGTGCCTTGCGCCAGACAAATAGACAAGCAGCCGACAGCTCAACAAGCCACACAGCCCGACAGCCAAGTATGACCGCTACAATGAGCAGCAATGTTGTTGTAGCTTTACTTTGGTTTGGATTTCTCTCCGCCTAGCTTAGCCGGCTATGCGATGCTTGTGCGACTGACTTCGCGCTGCCACTTGGTTGATTCGTTTATACGTTTTTTTTTCTCAACAACAATATTACTAGTGTTTTGCTTTGCTTTATTTTGCTGTTCGACGCTACGATCTTGCGGAGTATTAGCTGAGTTTCGTTGTGACAGCGGCAGCGGCAGAGGCAGGGCGTGTGGTAGGGGCAGTCCATTGTCTCCGCCTAAACACTACTGTTGTGCCATGATCGGCGTGCAAACAATGGCAACACCGTAACTGGAAATTGGCTATGCTGGCAGCCGCTGTTACAGCAATAACAATAATAAAAACGACGGCATTAGCATGCAGCTATTTGTTGTTTGCTGTTGTTGGCGTTGCAAGTAGCGACTCAATTTGAAATTTGTAATGAATGAACCCGTGCAACGTGCAACTAGCAATCAAACCATACACAGCAACAACGGTAGCAGGAAAATATATAGAAGCAAATGGACAAACATACACCGGCCTATAAACATAGAAGCGCACACGTACTCGACAACTCGAAAGACAAATTAAATAGCAACGGTGTATCAACGGTTGGTTTTGTTGTTTCGATTTGCTTTATTGCGCTGCAGTGACTTTGCACAGATACATATATATGTGTGTGTGTGTGATCTTTGCGGCTTGCTGCTCAGACATAATTTTCCTGCGCTTACAAGTAAGTATTCTATTGTCGAGGAAGTGCTTGTAGAACGTAAGGGTGACCAGCGCATGCGCGCATCATTACCACCGTTGTGTACATATATACGTGTGTGTGTGTGTGTGTGTGGGTAGCGTGGCAGCA